AGACTGAGGGGGGATCTGATCAATGCCTACAAATACTTAAAGGGTGGGTGTCAAGAGGATGGAGCCAGTCTTTTTTCAGTGGTGCCCAGGGATAGGATAAGAGGAAATGGGCACAAACTTGAACATAAGAAGTTCCATCTAAACATGAGGAGGAACTTCTTCACTTTGAGGGTGGCAGAGCACTGGAATAGGCTGCCCAGAGAGGTGGTGGAGTTTCCATCTCTGGAAATATTCAAAACCCAACTGGACAGTTTCTTGTGCAACCTGCTCTAGGTGGACCTGCTTTGGCAGGGGGGTTGGACTAGCTGATCTCCAGAGTTCCCTTCCAACCCCATATCATTCTGTGATTCTGTGAGAGTGGTAACAAACATACATGTGGGCAACATCTGACAGAGCTTTGATTACCCCTAAACAACCTCTCCTTTTATCTTTCAGTGGTAATACAGTTGCTACTTCACACGGAATCTAAGCTGTAATGTCACACAGCTGTAATAACCTGGAGATGGGTCCCTAAGTTGTTCATGCAAATAACTAACAGCAATGAGAGCTGCTCAGCAAAGCATTTACTCCAACCACAATAGCTCTTACAGCTCTTTGTGAAGGTATGGCTAAACATCCACAAATCTGTGTGAGACATGTCCAGAACAAACACTGAGACTTCTCAACAAGCCATCAAAGTAGCTCCAGCTCTGGTGGGATATACTTTATCCCACCTACTTTAAGGCCTTGATTCAGTCTGGTACCTTTTCTGACTATGCTTCTCCTTTCAAGGAGAGGCTGGATGGGGCTTTGAGCAAGCTAATCTATTGGAAGATGTTCTTACCCATGGCAGGGTGGTTGGAACTAGATGATCTTTACAGGTGCCTTCCAACCCAAACCATCCTGTGATTCAGTTTGACAGCTATTGACACAAGCTACCTTGAGTACTACTTAAATAGTCCTTCCAAATAAGGAAAACATTTTGATAGGGAGGGTCTGAAAGACAGCCTTAGTTCTAGAGGTATGATGCTTAAGGATGAAGGCATGTAAGCTGCTCTGGTTCATGTGAACTTTGAATACCACATTGGAAGGAAAATTAGATGGATCTGCAGGACTTCTCAAGCGTATTATATCAAAATTATCTTCCTGAATCTGTCCCACTTCTCTTGTGGAAATAACTGCTGTCAGAAACAACACCTTCATAGAATGGTGCAGTAAAGAGAATCCTGAACACATCTGTTGCCTGTCAAGGGACCACTTTCTATAGGCCATTTTGTGAAAATTCAGTAAAAATATGGCAGAACACCCACAGCCCAAACTAAAGAGATGACTGTCATAGACAGCCTTCCTCTTGTGCTGATTTCAACAAGACTATTTAATCACAGAATCAAAACCACATCCAATAGCAACCAAGAGCCTTCTCTATAGACAAGGAAATACAAAGCACTGCAGGTTGCTACACAGCATTTATATGGTTGCAAGAAAGTACCGACTCATCATCCTGGGAAATCTGCTGGAACTTAACCAGTCTAGGAGTACGTTTGAAAAAAGATTATTGGCTATCATCACTGTGCAGAGAAGCCAATTATGGATTAAGTTTAAAGTAGTAAATTCACTTGCAAATCAGTCTGTGCTGATCCCTCCACACTCAAGTTAAGTGAGAAGTGATAGAGAACACTGGCACTGACAACACAGATGCAACTGCTCTACTTAGGGAATTGATGATTTATACAATGCAGAACAATCTCTCTTGATGAGCAGATGAGATAAAAATACCAACACAAAAAGAACACTCCACCATAGATTCTGTACATTAAACACAAAGGAAGGAAAAGTATGATCAAGCATAAGGTAGCTGTGAGGATAAAACTAAGTATTCAGTCTTGATTGTCAGGGTGAAGGCATATCAACATTTTGTTAATTTGTCTACAATCTGGTACTCAAATACAAGATTAGAAAAATTATATTTAAAAAAATCACTGGTATTTTTAAAGTCGGTCTGAAAACAAGAACTTGAACATTATTTTTCTATTAGCTGGTACTTGTGGAATTGCTTTCTAGAAATAAAACTAATGCACGTACTGCATGCAAAATTTTAAAAAATAATAATGTTCTTTGTGTAACTGTAGCATAAATTAAACCTCAACTTAAAAAGGCTACTGCAGAGCTGCAGTATTACCTATTAATTATAGGTAAAGGTTGAAAAAAACACTTCATTTTGAAATGGCTTTACATATTTTCCCTTAGCTATGAGAGTCAAATAAAATGGGTTTCATAAACCATGTTTACTGTTTTCACTATTACTTTTTTAATAGCACCAACATTATCTGCAGAATTAGGGCCTTCCTTGAGGAGCACTAATTCTCTGAACTGATCCTCTCAAAAATATTCCACACACAAACCAACAAAATGCTGTTTAATAAACTAAGAAAGACAGCTAGGAATAGTGGTCTAAATCTTTTGATCCAGCAGAGCTTCACTTGGCATATATTTGGTAGGGATTATCATTAATTTACTTAAATCCCATTCTGATTCAGTTCTGGAATAGCTGGGAGCTAGACTGGTCCACAAAGTAATCTGAAATCACCTAAAGGATATTTTAATTTAAAACCGTCATCGGCAGATACCAAAAGGCTACCCTCATGACAAAAGGCTGCTGGAACATGATGGTTCTCTGGTTAGAAATTCCTTCCTCTAACCTTTCTCTCACTTGCAGGAGAGTAAAGGACCAACATTATCAATTCTATACCAGATTATGATTTCTCCTGTGCTCTAGAAACTACCAGATAACAATTTAGGACACTTGATTTAAATGTGGAGCTATGAATAGCAAAATTAGGGACTACTGGGAAGTACCAAGAGCCCTAAGACATTAGCTAGTTTCCAAGAATTTCACTTGCCTATGAAGCTACAGCAAAGTTGAGGCAAACTTGTGATAAGGGAATAGTTATTTTTAGTTTACAAGGAAACCGATATGAAAAAACTAATATGAAAAAACTTTTTACCACAACATTTGATGTGCAAAGTAAGTGTTACTTTTTTGCTACAAAACCATTAAGGATAAAAATACTTTTCGTCAGACCACACTTTCATTTACAGAAACACAGACTGGTGGTGAGCACACCCCAGCTCACCACAGCAGAGTACTGCTGGTATGTTTACCACCAATGCTCGCACTCTGGTGCAGACCCATTTTCTTCCTTAACCTCAGGCACTTTGAGATGCCAAAAATTCCCTCTAGACTTAATGGAGAGTAACAGGCATCTCTAGCAAATGACTCACTCCATCCCAAATCTGAATTGCTTTTTGGAGATGCCACTTCCTCCGTGAACTACTAAGGAAAGCTGACATGACTAAGTTCCTAATTTAGATGCCTTAATTTGTAGGCCAAATTTAGGAATAATATCTGGGCATACAGATCATTTGTAATGAGCCATAAAAATTCAAGAGAATCAATGTTAATAATTCATTTACATTTTTATATATTTTAATGGCATGAAACACACACTTTCAGAAAGGACCTCACCTATCTACTCCCTTTTTTCCTAGTTTTTGAGACACTTTTGGACAACTATGTGAATAATTGTCCAAATGGCATTTTCATGTTCCATAATTAGAAAAATTAATTTGGTACTGACCAATTCTTTGATGATTCTATTCATAATTGGAAACTAAGATCCTGCATAGACAGAGAACATTATTATTTTTCATCTCCTGGAAAAACATAATTTCACTGAATTTCACTGAATTTTTAGAGTTGGAAGGGACCATAGAGATCATCTAGTCCAACACCCCTGCTGAACCAGGATTGCCTAGAGCTTGTCAGAGCGTGTTACTCAGGACTGCATCCAGGCGGGTCTTGAAAATCTCCAAAGAAGGGGACTCCACAACCTCCCTGGGCAGCCTGTTCCAGGGCTCTGTCACTCTCATTGTGAAGTAGTTTTTTCTCATATTTACCTCTGAAGTTTTTCTTATGATATATCAAGTTAGGAAAATATTAAAAACACTTTGTTCTGGAATAAAAAAGGGTCTATTCTTACTGAATCAAAGTTAATATCAATGAAGGATATCTTGTCAGGAGGTAAGAAAGAATATTTCAGTTTATTTACAAGTGTATTGATTTATGTATAGATTTACTTGGATAATAAGCATTTAGGTATTCATCAAGGCGTAACAAATACTATCCCATGCCATCAAAACACTCTGAATAGATACATATGTAAGACAGTAAGCAGGATAAAATATTTAGCTATGGTGAGTCCTACGTTTTCTATTTTAATTCCTTCAACAGATTTGTTGGAAAAAAAATGTATTATTAGTGTAATTGCTTCATAATACAATCACATTAATGCTTCATAATTGTTACCAGATGCGTTTCCTAAACCAAGATGCCACATAAACACCTAACAGTCAAAATGCTAATTCTTCTGTAGAGCAGTGGCACAGAGCTACCCACTTCCTTGAAAATCAAGGGGCAGATTATTTTATAACAACTTATTTGGGAGTCAAATGTTAAACATAGTTTATAAAGCTATATGATTGTGGGAAGTTGCCCAGTGGTCAGCGAGCTCTGGATCCAGCGACCAGCTGGATATAACAGCAAATCAGAGAGTTTCCACTAGAGGAAATCTGTTCTAGTTATGCCCGAAATACTTTTTGCTGGTGGATTAGTCTATTATTTTTCTCTGACCTTATTTCTTTATTTTTACTTTTGTACAACTGGTGTGTCATTCTTTCCTTTTGCTCTTCTGAACTTTCCTCTACTTCATGAGAGCTCTTTTTAACTCCAAACTAATTTTAAACCTGACTGTCACTGCTGCTTTTCCAAACCTAAAGCCTATTTTTCTAACAGTATGAGAGAAATCACAGACACTAGAGTTCCAGCACAAAGACTGGACTTAGTCAATGATGGAGTGTCAACATCTCCTGTTTTATGGCCAATAACATTATGGTTTTCTAGTGATAAACACATAAATGATTGTGCTTTCAGTGTAAAATGAAGAAACAGTGATTTTAATTACCTGACATCTTTTTCAAGTTGTGTAATATGCTCTTTCTGTAGACTTATTTGAGAATCTCTCTGTTGCACTGTTTCAATGAGGTATTTATATGGCTGTTGTACTTGATTCAACAAAGAATTTGCTCTGTCAAGCTGAAAAAAAAAGCATTACTATTATTAATTTTTTAATTTCTAAAGTACAATTACTTATTATTTAATTTTTGTTGTATATTATCAATTATTATCAATTGTATAAGAATATAAAAACGAAACCTGTTATTTCACAAAAAAAAATTAAACAAATGACCCTCAAATTACTATCTAGTACATTATCGTCTCACCTTTCTGTTCTAATTGCACGATATGTTCATTGCAATGATGCTACTGCTCTCTACCCGAAACCTGTTATTTCACAAAAAAAATGAAACAAATGACCCTCAAATTACTGTCTAGTACACTATTGTCTCACTTTTCTGTTCTAATTGCATGATTGTTCATTGCAATGATGCTACTGCTCTCTACACTTCCCTAATCTGCATTTTCAAGAGTTTTAATGTAACAGCTTCCACTGATGTTAATATAATTAATATAGACAAGGCCTCTGTTCACCTTCTTGGCCACAAGTGACTTTCTTAAACCAGTATACTATCACAATGGAATTTTCAGATCAGAAATTGAATCTAAATATAAAGTAGTAATGGAAGAAAATCTTCCCTTCCTCTCATCAATTACTGTATACAAAGAGTGAAATCCAGCAGAATGTTTACAAGATTAGTATAAAATAAATGTCATACCCATAAGCAGGAAATAAACCTTTCTAGCCATATTCCTTGAACAAATTAGGATCACTCGGTCTAAAAAGCCTGCATGGTATGACTTGCATTTTGAGCAATATAACAATGTCATTCACTAAAATATGTACAGAATTAAGATCACACATCAATACATAGCAGTTTCAGCAGCTGGAGTACATATAAGTCAAGAATACTAAGTAGATTCTTTAAAAAATAAATTAAAATATTTTAAAGTTTAGATACAAACAGGTCTAATGGAATGAATTCAATGAAAATGGTTAAGTTTTCCAATTAGTTTGTAAAATTTCTGAATAGATTACACTATCTGCATTTCCCAAATCAGAAGCCAGATGTCCTATTTTGTGTTTGGTTAAACAAGCAGGGGGAAAAACCAAACCCTTTCCTATAGTCCTAGTCTATTTAAATAGTATTTCAGGACTTTCCTAAAATGAGATTTCTTCTCCTACTCACAATTTTCAAAATAGGAATCTGTGTTTCCTTCTTTCTCTAATTCCATTATATTTTATTGCAATTTTACTTCTGCCTGCTATACTCTGTCTAATGTGAAAAGAACTTATAATGTAATGGTTCACATTTTTCAAAAACCAGAATATATACAAAAATTTACTTCCTCATATTACTGGCTTTACTAAAAGGGGAGATAACTCTACCTCATGCTTCAAAAAGTGAAATGAGAGACAGTAACATTGCCCTACTCCAAATTAATGCAAATCCTAAAGTACTATATAAATACTTTAGTGCCTTCAGGAAATACTTATTCTAGTTCACAGTGAAATTCCAAGTTTATTGCAGAGAAGTCAAAAAACAAAAAAAAGGCAATCATGTCCTTGAAGAAACTAATTACCTTCCATAAAGCGATAAGCAATTAAAATCTATTTGTTTTCTATGAGTACAAGCTATCAAACAAGATCTCTTTCAGAAAGACAGTAGAGAGTCTTTGGACAACAAACAGGTAATTTCAAGATATGGAATACTAATCTCTCAAATGGCCTAAAAATTGCAGTATAAAACCTTGAGGCTGCCATTATAGGAGAAAATTAATCCAACTGATCTTGTTTGGAATTCCCTTTTTGATAACCTAAGAGCTTTCAAAGGATGCTGTCACCACAGCGTGAAGTTCCTCATTGTTCTTACTGATAAGAATTCAATACTTCAGTGAGAAAGGACAAGTGAGGCATTCTGAGCTTGATTTGATGCTGCAAAGTCATCTGGTAACTTGCTAACTTTACCAGCTAAAAAGCTTTACAAAGCTAAAAGCTGTTGTTACGAAAAGGCTGTCCCTTCCCTCTCCACGGTGATGCTTTGCTGCCTGTTTGATACTATAAACGTAAAAGAGGTTGCTATAAAATTGTAATCAATTAAGCATTAAATGTATTTAATGGATCAATTTTACTAATATACACACAAATATATGAAGTAAGCATTATCCTTGAGCAAAAGCAGTATTTTTGTTAGCAACTTTGATTTCTGTCTGCCTTAATGTACAAGACTTACTAAAGTATTTCTGTGTAATTCTTGTAAGCGATAAATCTAATACCTTGCAATTGGACATTTATTATTTATCCCTGAATCGACATATCTACTAAGCTGAAGGATTTCATCATTGTTCAGCTTGATCCATACTCTGGCTTCCAGAGTGAGATGTAAATTTGCTTTTGGTGAAAAATGTTTCAATCGAGGCATACAAAAAGCATAGATAGAGTGTCACGATGAAGGCTTGAAAAAGCCATTCAGCAGCAAGCCAAATATACCAGCTTAGTAAATTTAGCTATTTAGGATAACAGTTTTACTGTATACTGACTCAGCACCCAAAGATCACATTAGCCTTCTAGACACAAGAGACAGTCTATCCATCAGTTGTGGCAATGTTGTTCAAAACCTCTGCAAGGTGAATTTATTCCAAAATTTAGCTCGGACACTAAATGTCGTAATTGCAGATGACTACTTTGCAGAAGCTGATACACAGGCTTCCACTTAAACTGAGAGTAACATGAAGTGAGTTGCAGAGGCAATAAACTGATTATCACTAGCTGAGGATCTTTCTTGGATCAGGTCATGAGAATTCCTTTATTCTGTTTGTCCTAGACATGGTCAACAAACCTTCTGTAGCATGAAGTAAGTCTCAATACCTATTTTAACACTGCAGGTCTCTGCTAGACAAAACAACAGAAAGAGGACTTTAAAGGAAAATTTTTGTATAATGCTGCATTGCAGACCTGAAAATATATAGGATCCTGCGATTAAATAAAGCCCAACAGACTATAATGGGACTAACTGAAGACTGACAAATGTTTTTTAGCAGCTAAACCTTTCCATAGGGTTCTAACTTTCAAGCAAGCACACCATGACAGACATCCATAAAATGAATTAAATTATGGAGAAGTCAGTATTTTCTTCTTGGTAATGCTGGACTTTCCCAGAAGATCAATATGATTCCTTTCTATAAAGCTCAACTGCAATTGGTTGAGGACAGTCCAAAAAACAATCTTAGAAATTGAATCCACTGTAGTTATTGCAATATTTTCTTCGTCTTCCCCCCTTTAAAGAGCTTAAAAAAAACAGTTCTGTGCTAAATACTGCAGTGAAATACCAGTATTTAATCCAACTTCAAAAGAAAAGTTGGTCCAATCACTTTGGCACCAACTTTCAATCCATGTTCTAGATTTCACCCAGCTGACTGAACAAAATGTCAATCAAAAGAATAAAAATGGGCTACGCGAGTATCCTGTAAGCCTAGGAGCAAAACAGAGATCCCATAAAACAAACAAACAAACCAACCAAAACCAGGCAGACAATAGCTTGGAGTAAAAAGCTATCTTGGCTCAGGGGATGTAGTAAAGACAGTAAACAGGAGTTCAAGAACTTGGACTATATTAAGAAAGATAATAGATAGCAATCAGTATAAAATATGAAATAACAAAAATTTACAAGAGCTACAACCTCAAGGGGAAACTTGATACTAGCAGGCATAGAACTCCAAGAACAAAAAAAAATGGGAGCAAATAAATCCTAGAAACAGTACAACCCGTTCGGCAGAGAGACTGTAAAGTTGTATATAATGATGAAAAAAACATGGAAGTTTTCAATAAAACTTTTGCTCTCTGTTTGAAAAGAAGTCAAATGCTCAGTTTGCATAGCATGAGAATAACAACAGACTGGAAAACAGTTCATCAACATGTGTAAACTTGTGCACATACTCAAAAATGTGCAGAATGGCTTGAGTATTTGTTATCAAACAAAATGGCCTACAATCATATGCAAAATTAAAAATTAGAAAAAAAAAGAAAGATATCTGGTGAAGTATTCAGACCTGAATGCCAGCCATGAGTTTAATAGACAGCCAGTCTTAAAAGATTTTACTTAACTTTATGAGTTTGATGTTAACAGGCTTAGTAGCTGTATGTTAGCTATCTGCAAGACATTTAACTTTGTACTGGAAGGCATTTGATTTCAACTGTACAATTATATGATAAAAGATCAAGAAAGGGCTACATGACATCTCATGGAAGAATAAAAATGAGGTGAAGATGTTCTAGTGGAGTTCTGCAGGAATTTAAACTAAGGTTACTGGTACTGAATCTTTCATCAGTGACCTAGAAGCAAAGATAAACCCACTGTGGGTAAGAAGAGATGTATTGAAGTGGAAACCAGACAGATTTAAGTGGGAAATAAAGTACAGATTTTATTAACAATGGTGAAAGAATAGTGATAGGGAAAATAACCAAGGATAACACTGGATTCACAAATCTCTTGATGTCTTCAAGTCAAGAGACTTGAAAGATATGTTTTAGTCAAATACAAATTACGTTGAAATAACATATATAGTCATATATATACACATATAAAATACATAAAATCATGTAGTTTTAAAATACCTAGAAAATGCAAATATTTGCACTGTGAAGTACTCGGGGGTAGTTATCCTAATTTGTAACAACAATGACTTTAAAAGAATCAAACTGCTAACCACATTCTTGAAACAGTCAGCCTAGAAATTCCATATGGTGACAAATATAATAGCAAATCTAGATGTTCTTTGGTTCCTAAGACAAACTTAGAAGACAATCTTAAAAATACTTCAAAAATTAGTTTGCCCTATTTCTGGGAGATTTCAAGCTGAGTTTTATTTTGTATTTGTTCTCCATGACAACGTAATATAATACCTGAAATCACATATATAGACTTTTAAAAGATCATGGAATTAAACTCATTGTAACAAAGAGAAAAAAAAAGCTTTTTTAAAAAAGCAGCTTATATTAAACATTCCTTAGACTTATATATATTCATCAGACTCAAGAACTGAACTATATAGAAAGGGATTTACAGAAATATCTTCAAAAGTGATTTAAGGGAAGAGCCGTGTAACAAGTAATGAGGTATTCATTGAACAATTAACTATCAAACAGAAAAAACAAGTTTGGCTAGCTGGTCTTCTGCTCAGAAATCAGAACGTTGTCTGTCTGGCTCACATTCTTGTTTAGCCTGTAAAGTAATCCCTCTTTTGATCTTCATTTCAAAATACAATATAAACTTCTTTGAAAACATTTAACATAGAGTTTTGGTTAATTATGAGGCCATTTTCTGACATCAAATAGATAATAAAGACTGTTTAGAAAATATTTCATTTTATGAACAGCTGTTCTGCAATGTTTATAGCCTCTACAGATTTGATTTTTTTGTAGAAGTAATTTACCTCTTGTGAAATCTGTGTTACTTGTTCCTTCTGATGTTCCAGATCTTTTACAAGCAACGAGTTTTGCTTTTCTAGCTGCAGTAACCTCCTTGCCAAGTGAACGCTGTGCCAATAAAAAGCAAGCTCAAGTTGAATTTTTTCCAAAATATGCAAAAGAAATTCTCACATTTATACTTCAGAGCTTGATTGCCTTAATTTTTCACCAATTCTAAAATACTAATATATATAAACTACACAATGAAACATGCAGAAAGGCCAAAGCTAGAAAAACAATGGAAGTTTTACAAAATTTAAGAGCACTGAAATAGCATTCCCACAGTTATGCCATTGCAATATTTTTTACAAAGCAATTACCTGTGTAATTTGTACTATACTACACAATTGTAGTAATCACGTCAAAGTGTTGCAACTAATTATGAGTATTTACTTTTTAGCAACTTTAGAGAATCACTGCAATTGACTTCACCTTAAATAATTTTTTTTAAAAAAGTGCACATTAATACACATTTTGTAGTGGAACACTGAAAAATGTCGTATTTTGTCATTTTCAAAACAGAGGCAAAGTCCGTTTTGTTTTCCATTTAATATGCTAAATAATTAAATGTTATTGCCACTTTTTTAAAAAATAAACTCTTACGCAGATCCACAAATTAACTCAGAAGTGAAGAGAAAGGATTATTGAATTACTTAAAAAATCAACTCTTAGGCAGATCCACAAATTAACTCCGAAGTGAAGAGAAAGGATTATTGAATTACTTAAACACCCTAGTTAAAAAATTAGATCTTCAACCTCTTGCATGTTTCATGTCCAAAGTCAAAAGATTTTATCATCAGTTGAGCAGCATAGTTCCATAGGCAGCAATGGGAAGATTCAGTGTGCAATTGCAGAGCCTACTTCCAGACATCTCACCTCGTCTTTGAAGCTGTTATTAATCATTTAGTCCTATTCAGTACAGTCTGTAGAGTTGAGCCTGACCATATTCCACTAAAACAGACTCCTGGATGGTGAACTGAAATGTACTCCAAACTCCATTGACAGTATTGATTAGAACTGAATTGGTTATAATGGGAGGTTAGATGCCAAGTCTCTGTGTTCAACCTAAGACTAGATGTCTAAATTTATGTATCCTGTAACGAATCCTGCCATCTTTGTAGGATTCAGTAGCTTGGTGGCTTATTACCAAAATTGCATCTAGAGAATTTATCACTGTATCCCTCCATGTTTAGGTACTCTACTCACCAATCTATTTCACAACATTGACATGGGAAATTCAGAGCTCTAAAAATGAGTAAGATTTACAGGTCTAATACCCCTTTTTAGTGTGCCTTAATTACTGGACTAATGGCTCTCCATAACAATCCATCCTTCCAGTCAAGCGTGTGCCATTTTTTCAGAAACTTGTACACTGAAGAAAGGGAAGAGTCGCTCCAGTTCAGTTCTTAGACTCTCAGTGCTTACCAGCCATAAACTGAAAGTGCAAGACTGTTAGTCTCCAAATAATGGATAGCAAAGTCTTCCCCAGTTCTTGATCATGACGCTGAACCTGTAAGGGTGTAAGTGGTCTAAAGCAGACTGACAGGTCTTTACTCTCAAGTGGAGGCTTAGAGCATATAAAGCTACATGAATGTATAAGCTTTCTCTGAAAATTTGACCAGTCATAAACTCCACCTTCTTTTCAGTAAAAGGGAATACACTTTTAGATTTGGCAGAACTCTTAAAATCCTTCACCTGTGTTACAAACCTAAACTTTCATACAGACAATCTTTTACTTTCACCTTTTATGAGAAGAAATACCTGAAATTCTCAATAGCATTCACCAAGAAGTTGGTTCTCTCAGTTCCTCCTACAAGGAGCATTAGACTGCGTAAACAATAACTGAGAAAAAAAGAAATTAATTCTCCAAACTAGTTATTTGGATTTTCATTTAGGAGATGTGTGTTGAGATCCCACCTAGTACAAAAGAGAAATGAACCACTTCTCTGATATCTCTACTTAGGGATCTTACACGTTAGCTAGTAGAGTGCAAGGGGAAACATGGAGACCTTCCCATGGCAACTTTGGGAATGTAGCCCATCATAATTTTCCCAGCTATGACTATTCAGTGAACCAGACCTGAATTTGCAAGTATTGAAGGATAAACACAAGTACATCTTTCAAGTATGCTTGTCAGTATGTTTTTTGACTAGTTTAAAGCAAAGGGACAAAGGGACTAATCTGCAAAGACATCTTCATCTTGAAAACTTTGATTCTGACTATACTAGAAAATTATGCAGTGCTCAAGAATGTGATAATTTACTGTTAGCAAACCACTAGAGACTTTCTGATAGTATTCTGGCATTTACTCATTAACAGTCTCCCAAACAGTCACTAGGCATAACTGAAGAGTTAGTGTGGGCAAGCAATCATTGCCAATACATCGTTTACACGCAGCTAACCCACTCTAAAAGTTTAGTTTTATGGAAGTGGGCTACTGCATACCATTTGGTGTCAGTGCTTCAGAATGTTCCCAAGCATGTTTAATTTAGTTGTATGGGCATATTGTGCCTCCATCCGAAGTAATGAAATGGTTGTTTCTGGTGAGTAGGCAAAGAGATACAGAGCCCACAAAGCACTATACTTGAATAGGTGGTTGTGTACAAAGTTTCAGGTGAACTTTAAGGAGCACTTCATTTAGGATCCCCTATGTCTGGAATTAAAGAGCAGGTAGTGGACTCCAGACAGAAGATCATTCACATGTATAATAGATTCTCTTTCCTTAAGCAATCCTAGAGAGCAAAGAACTTCTATGTTTAGAGCTATTAAAGAAACACAGATAAGTTGGTGTAACAGAGACTTGGCTTTAAAGCTTAGAGAGCCAAAGGCATCACACACATTTTCTTCACGGCAGTTTTCCTTGAGTCAGAACAGCAATAGGTAAACCATACACAGACTTTTATGGCTTTTTTAATCTTCTTAATTTTAAAAGATAAAGAAAGTCTATGAAGTCTCCTACACCGTTATGAAGGATTAAATCAGTCTTATCTGCCAATGCCTTCTGGAACAAAAGAGGAGTATATGAGGTATTCTGATAGAGCAACTTCTAAGCTCAGAAAGTGTTTTCCAGGCACATCTGAAATCCCGGCTTATTGATCATCAGACTCACCATTCAAAGGTGATTTAGCAGAATTCTTTTATATGTAAATAATCTAAATCTAATAAGGTGGGTCAAAAAAGAAGCACCGAAGCTGAAACTCAGAAGAGTTGCCAAACTACTGACAGGGGAGGAAGGTACTGAAGTTTTAGAAAATGATGCTGTAGAACTCTCAACAGTCTCTTAAAACAGACACACAAAAACTGGAGTTTCCCCCTGCCTCCTTTCTATTTTTTTTCTTCTTGAATCTTCCTAGAATTATAGAATGGTTACAGTTGGGGTTTTGCAATATATAATAAGAAATCTTATTATCTTAATCTGAAGAGGCTTACAAACATGAAAGAGCAAATTTTTATTTAAAGAGCAAATTTATTATTTAAAAATTACTATGATCAAGAGGTATGTTATTCAGCCAACGCATCATTTGTATCTATTGATCAAATGGTATCAGAGTAAACTGACGAAATGTAACTGGAATCAGATGCTGTGTTTGTAAAGATGAAATAGAGATGCTCTGAAACCTTGGCTGCCTTAATTTCCTGGCAGATGTGTTTTTGTTACAATTACATACAATCATTTTTAGGGTATTAAAAACTTATTTCCTGTTATATAAATGTAAATAATGTTTTTACAGCTGTTTAGTTTTATACAATTAAAATTCATCTTTCTGAAAGACAAGGAAAAAAAGATCTTAAAATGACCTAGAAAAATAAGTATATGCTCATTTATATGCATCAACCACATTAACAGGTCCTAGTCTTCATTCTATTTCTGTATACCTAAGTCTTTAGAAAAACTTCTTTATGTTAATCAAACTGGCTGGATTCTTCGACAAAACATAATGCACATATCTTCATTTACTTTATATTGAACAAGTAAATTCAGGAGATGCTTTTTTACCTTTGCTTTAGTCGTCTTTTGGCTGTTGTAGGAACATTAGCACCATACCCGTATGAGAAGAGAACCCTTTCAGCTTCAACTTCATCTTCCACTGAAAAGAATTATAGAAAGGTACTATTGAAGAACATAATTACAGTGTAAGAACTTACAAACTTTTAAGCAATTCTATTTATAATTATACGCATGCACAAACACTGTTCTAGAAGCATCTTTACAAACAGTGCAGATGATGGGATATTGTGCATCTCCAGCAAATCTGAGGAAGATACCAGATTGGGTATATAGGGCAGCAGGGTAGACTGGGTGCAGGGCTGCTATTCAGAGGGACCTCAACAGGCTTGAAATATGGATTGACAAGAACCTCAAAGTTAAGCAAAGCAAGAGTCTTGCATCTGGGATGGAATAACCTCATGCATTATTACAGGTTGGGGGACAACTGCCTAAAAGCAGCCTTGCAGAAGAAGATCTGAGCGCCAGGTGGAGAAGCTGACCATGAAACAACTGGCAGCAAAAAAGGGCAACTGCATCCCTGGCTGTATTATCAAGATTGCAGCCAGCTGGTCAAAGAAAATAATCCTCATCTATTCAGTACTTGTGAGACCACACAGGGAGTGCTATGCTCTGTTTTGGGCTCCCCAGTACAAGAAATACACTGATATATTGGAGGGAGTCCAGAGTGAGGGGGCTACAGCACATGACATATCAGAAGAGTCTGAGAGAGATCTCATTGATGTCTCCAACTACCAAATGGGAGGGTACAATGAAAACAAGAGTCAGGATCCTCTCAGAAATGTGCAGTGATTAGGATAACAGGCAATGAATTTAAATTGGAACACATATTTTTTTACTGGATAAAAAGAGAAATGTTTTTATTATGAAGGTGGTCAGATATTGCAACACGTTGCTTGGACAGGTAGTGGATTCTCCATCTTTGGAGACATTTAAGACTTGACTGGATAAGTTTCTTAAGCAACCTGCTGGATCTGTGTTGAGCAGAGGGTTGGACTAAATGACTTCCAGGGGCATCTTCCAACATCTGTGACCCTGTGATTTGCTCTCTCTTCTGAATTTGCCATATAAACAGTAAACCAATTCTGGTATTTTACAATTGTCAATACTTTGTGATAAGAATTATTTTAGCTAAATGTCTGTTCAACTTAAAAAATGAAACAATTTCAAATTCTAATTATAAACACAACCCAACACATTCAACTATTTGAACATTAAATTCATTACACTAGTGCACAATAATGTACGAAATATAACTTCACTGACCTGTTGCTCAACCTAGATTGAAAGTTTTCAATGTGTTATCACTTTTCGTAATGTTCATAATACAGTCCAGGGCTTAAAATTAACTAGCTTGGTAATACACTTGGAAATAGCTGTGCATATTGTCATCAGTGGTAGCATCAGGAAGTTACAAACTGTGACAGTGACCCATTACTCCCTAAATCTTCCCCAGAACCACAAACAAAACTTGCATCCTGCTGTGATACCAATCCCTCTCCTACAACAAGACTCCAAATATCTTGCTACCTCTTCAGAGCCACGTTCCTGGTCCTGCATCCTGAACAAGACTTGTAGTTTGGAGGCAGCAAACTGCTGCTGAGCACAGTTTCCAGGAATGCCTGATCAGACCGTGGCTGTCTGTGCTGAGGTGCTTCTCTCAGGGCTTAAACAAACACCTCCACAAAAATGGAGGTGCTCCCACTTTTGCCATTGTTTGGCAAAGGCTCGTTGACCTTATGACAGTTGCAAAACCCTGACACCGTATTTACTACAATATGGAAACCTCTGTTACCAACTGAAACTCTGCATAAATATACAAATAAAGTAGCTGGCCACTTAATATTACCCATTAGCCTTTAACATCATTTGAGATAACCAAATAAAAAGTAGTTTTCCTCTACAAGAAGACTTTGTTTATGAGCCAATATGCTGTCGTATAATTAAATATTCTGAGTTGAACACTTAAGTACACTTCTAAATTTATTGGTAGAAATAAACATCTGAAAAAAAAGCAAATCTAACCTATCAATAAATTCTAAGCAAATTAAGATTATATCATGTAAAAATATAAAGACAGAAATAAGCTCAATACTTATGTTTATGCAAAATAAAAATATTCAGAATAATCTTTGCCTCCATAGATGACCGATTTCTGAAAACATATTTCTAAGGATTTAAAACACACTGAAGTTTGCTTTAAAAAGAAATCCCAATAGCAGCAAGATTAAAGTGTGTACAGATTTTAGTACTTCAGCTTGTGTAATTCAGGTTTCCTCTCTCCTGTAAGTTAAAATGGGCCACAGGGTAAAAAAAATTAAATAAATAAATAAAAAAAAAAGCATGTGTGTGGGAGGCAGGCAGGGGCAGAGAGAGAAGGACAGAGAGTAGGGGTAAAGGGGAACAAAGAGAAAGGGGGAGCGGCAGGGGTGTGAGACAGTAAGGGAGCACAAGTGAACACCAGCCCAGACACCACACAACAGTTTTGATGAATCGAGTAGTTGGGAACAGGAGAAACAAATTTAAGAACTGTGTCAGTCCCATCTGACTCATCTTTGCTCCTGTTCAAGTGCCTCCAAATCAGAAATATGTTCTCTCAATAACTTGCGTAAAGCTATGGCTTCTTTCATCACTTGTCTAATACTCTTTTAATGCTATTTTAAACAAAGACTCTTAAAACACGTTTAGGAAGAATAGAGGCTCTAGTAGAGCATTTGTGCTAGTTACACAAAAAACACTACAGAAATTCCAGTAAGTATGACAGAAAAGGTTTGCTGATGTGGCAGTACAAAGGCACCAGAACTTCAGATTTTCAAGGCTGTCTTTGTTACGATGAAAAATTCCCCAGTGCCTTAAATACTTCTGGTTCAGAAAAACATAAAAAAATCATCTAACCTGCATTTATCATAACCCTTCTTTTTTGGTTACAAATTCAGTGTTGTACGTCTCAGAAAAATGACAGTAAGATCCTTCCCTATAAATTTGTACCAGTCAGTAGTGTCCATGTACATGGCAGATCGTGAAGACAAAAACACAAAAAATTGGGAAGGTTGTAGATATCAAGCCAAAGTAATAGTCTGTATCAGTGTGTGCTTCTCCTATCTTCTTTTATGTCTTTCCAGGCTCTTCACCTGACTTTGTGGTGTAAAATATGTCTTTTAAAAGTTAGGGGGACACTTATTAATGACAGCTTTTTTACACTGTTTAGCAAAAGAGTGTCATTGCGAGGTATCAAATAGGTTCAACCTTTGTCTTCAAAAGATACTAACCAATGGAAGCAAGAAAATCAAACTACTAGTCTACAACAAAAATACCACAATGTGAAGATTTTACCCTGAAAAGGAAGAACAGACAATTGCCAAGAAAGTATGCTATTGTTATTCATGTGGAAACCACTCAGATGCTGTAAGGAGTGGCTACATAAATTCTTGATAGTTTCCTGAATAGGCTGTTTCATGTTATTTCAATATTAATAAAGCGAGGCACAATGATGAGGGAATAACAGTCACAATTCAGTGATCTCTTCCACATGTACGTTCTCCAAAGGAAAAAATAAAAAGCTTTTATGATTGTATGACAAAAGCCACCTCACATGTGCAAATATACAGTTTATTAAAAAGTTCAGAGAACTCAACCCCCACCAGCACCCCTAAATATTGTAAAACAGCAGCGATTTCATAATTCAAGGAGAAGAAAAAAATATTACATGGTATTGAAATGTAAAAAAGTGACCACAAGAGTGAAGAGTAAAATCTTATTCTCACCAAAGTGGAAAATTCTAATTGTTTTCCACATAATGCTTCAGCCTAAATTATATTCTCTGAAAGACAGACCGGAGTATTTCCAGAACACACCACATTTGAAAAATAGTGTTCCATGGAAAATTCTATTTGTTTTCCACATAATGCTTCAGCCTAAATTATATTCTCTGAAAGACAGACCGGAGTATTTCCAGAACACACCACATTTGAAAAATAGTGTTATTTCCTTTCTTTCAACTATTTTTCTACCTTTAGCTATTTATGACATATAAATACCAGGACATGATATGAGACACAGGGTAAGGTATATCTGTTCTCCTTTAAAGTTTTTTTAAAAAAGGAAATGCTTTTATTTTTTCTGATTTTCCTCAGAAGTTTACCTTGGTGCTAGAATTAAGTCTTAATTAGTCTTAATCCTAACTTCCAAATACACTATAATAGTAAGAAAAAACGATGTTAGTTATTGAAACTACTATAGTTAGTTATAATAGAAAATATTTTTCTTCAACAAAATCAGAAAATAAAGTCATTATGTTTTAACAGAACAGTCCATTTGAAAACTTTCATTTCTTAAGTCATATTCCGTAACACAAAATATAAATTGTAATTAAAATACAAACTTAGTAAGAGCTTAAGAATGATTTAGTTCTGTAAAAAACTTCAGTTCTCTCCCAAGATGCATAAGAAAATATGAATAAGTGTAAACAAAAAACATCTTCTCCTTGGAAAAAAAATGAAGGTAAGGTCCAAAAATGTAGAAAAGCTTTTATATATATACATGTATATAAAATTTTACATATATACATATATATCTATCTAAGATCAAAATGTAGAAAAGCTTTTATATATATACATGTATATAAAATTTTACATATATACATATATATCTATCTATCTACACACTTCTAAAACCGTGTTACCAACTAAAACATAAGCATGTATACAGCAAGCATACTTATGGTCAGATGGGAATCTTTGAGTAGTCATGCCATTCTAACAAGTACAAGCTGTAGTGTATAAAATTAATACACAGCTTAATTACTAAAGATACCCAGACATCGCTGCATCCCACTAATACATACTTTGCTCTACATTACTGGTTATATTAAAGTCTTAGTTTCATACTAGAAATTATTTGCTTGTGGATCAAGCAAATCAAACCAATACACATTTCACAGAAATTTTGGTGTGTTTGAGAACAGATACTGTTATTTTTGCCAAGCAGAGGCAAAAATTTTCAGGAGTAATCACGCCTGAATTTAATCTAGGGTTTAGTACTTGGAACAAACTGATCTGCCACAAGCAACTACTTAATGTCTAATTATTATTAATTCAACACAAGGAAGAGCTTTTTCTGCCACCAATTCATTTAAAAATTCACACTAATCATGTACTGTATTATGAAACCTATAATTCTCTGTCAACAAAAAGGGTTTCCTGGTATTCAAAGCATACTTAAATGGTAGGAGAAGCCTAAAAAAACCCCATCTTCTTATAATGGATAATTAGAATAAGGAAAAGAGAAATAAGGGAAAAAGAAACACCAAGATAATTTTTAATATCCATATGTCTAAGTGCATGTTTATTTCATACATATTTACAAAAAACTTTAGAAACCCATCATTAAGATTTTCTATTAAAATAATTACTGCATCTTAATTGTGAGGCATAAGGAGGGAGAACGACAGGCACTGTAACACTTTCCAAGTGCCATGAGAAACAAGACATCTTGTCAGAATGCCAGAAACACCTACAGATACAATACAATTTGTGATAGAACTTACTTTCTGCTGTCTGCAAGATTATCTCATCAAGCTCTTTTTCAAGTTTTTCGTAAGTTTCTAGCCTTGCTTGAAACTCAGAATTCTGCGTTTGAAGTTCAATAATGCGTGTCTCACTAGAAGACTGAAGGCTATAAAATTCCTTAGTAAGCACCTGTGAGAATGAATAATGGAAAGATCAGGGACTCAGCATTACAAATACTTATGGAAGAGGCAAAATATAATACACAGTGTGATACTAAATATCTGACGTAACTTTTGCACAGGAAAAATTAAGATACTTTAAAAAGCAGTTTTTTCAAGCATGAAGAGCTCTTAATCCTAAGAATCTCTCTCTGAAAAATACAATAATTTTAAAGGAGAGTTAGGAAAAGCAAGGTACCAGCTAAAAAAAAATAAAAATACACAGCAGTTAAAACAGTGTAAATGCATTTATTTTTGTTGCTTTAACTGCATTCAGATTTCACTTATCAATTTATAAAAAGAAGGTTCCTTTACAGAATGGTAAACGCATGAATACTTAAGAGCTTCTTGCTCTTAAGGCCTTCATAATCCTAAGAATCTCTCTCTGAAAAATACAATAATTTTAAAGGAGAGTTAGGAAAAGCAAGGTACCAGCTAAAAAAAAATAAAAATATACAGCAGTCAAAACAGTGTAAATGCATTTATTTTTGTTTCTTTAACGGCATTCAGATTTCAGTTATCAATTTATAAAAAGAAGGTTCCTTTACAGAATGGTAAACGCATGAATATAAAAATTTGGTATTTAAGATATACTACATTCTTAATTTTTACTTATTACTGAAAGGTAATATGACTTTAACATTCAGGACTAGTGTAAATACTTAATCTATTAAGCTTAAACAAAACCCCCAAATATTCAAAAGTAAAAGTTACAAAAGTCCATATAAGAACTAAAGCTTAATATATAAAAATTTGGTATTTAAGATATACTACATTCTTAATTTTTACTTATTACTGAAAGGTAATATGACTTTAACATTCAGGACTAATGTAAATACTTAATCTATTAATCTTAAACAAAAAACCCAAATATTCAAAAGTAAAAGTTACGAAAGTCCATATAAGAACTAAAGCTTAATATAGTGCTTGAAAACAGAAAACAATATTGACAACAGAAGTATTATAAAGCCATCTGAAATAAAAAATCCTTGGTAAGTAAAGTATCAATTGACATGCTTTACAGAAAGAAACACCAGCAAAACAGGTAAAGTAATAACCAAGTAGTACTGTTGTTAAGTTTAATACTAACTTCCCAAATGAAACTCCTGAATATTCAAGATGACAATTGAGCATAGATCTTGATATACAGAAATCCTGAATACAGCAGTAATACCAGATTCACTGTCAAAAATGCTAAACAATGCACAACACTCAGAGAAAAAAGCCAGTCAAATATAAAGAGACTGGTCTAGTGTCACAGAAGAATGAAAGTATAGGTTAAAATCTTGTGATGTATAAACCATCTGTTTCCTAATTTTAGCATACATAAAAAGAAAAACTACCCTATGCTGAAATCCAAATAAAAACAAAAGTGGTTCACAAAGCAGCTGCAGCTGAGCCATGAGATACCAATGACTACATTATTAATTAATCAACATACTACAAGAAAGGTAAAAAAAACCCTTGGCATGTTGATACTATATATAAGAAAGAAAATTAAAACATTAAGAATTCAGTCAAAAGGAACAAAACCAAAAGCTTCAGACATCAAATATTTAAATTCTTCAAGAACATTTCTTAATGAAAGAGCACTGGTTTCAAAGCGTCTCTCTAAAGAGAAAAGGAAGCGTCAGAAGTATTAGTAGAATTGAATGCCAAATATTCAAGATGTTATTCAGATCAAATAAATATCCACAAAGAAAATGGAAATACACCTCAAATCTAACTATCTTCTCAAAGTTTAGACATGTCTGTGCAATTAAAAAATCTGTTTAGCAACCTCAAAGTCTAGCAAAGCTGGCACTCCCAGTGCTTGTGACCACAACTAACCTCATCAGCCAGGATCTCAATGTCCCAATAAAAAAAAAAACAACTAAGAAATTACATTTTATCTAAACTCTCTAATACTGTTTCCACTCCGTAGTTTCTTTTCATAACCACCCTAGGCAGGGTCAGCACTAGAAATGTGCGGCCTTGAAGCACAGCATCCTTCCCCAAAAAATGAAGGCTGCCATAGCTGGCATTTAGAAAAAAGGTTTATATTCTGTCCTGCCCAGTTTGTATCATGACATTTGTTTTAGACATATACTGCCAATCCACTTAAATCTCACAGATTGCACTCCATTGAATATTGGACACCTTTCCAATACTAAAATCGGTGAACAGGATACGATACATTTTTGAAAGTACATGTTTGAAAGAGAATAAATTCTAAGCTTGAAGAGATAGAAAGGTTCATATCATTCAGCTCTGTGTAAGTAGGTGTAAGTAGGCCACCTTCCTCTCCCTGAAATCTTGTTTTCCCTTTAACTGGTCAAACTTAATCATCTTCGTCATTAGGTTCTGCTTCAGCAGAAATTTGGTGGAGGTACTAATTCAGCCACGTATGTTCTTTGCTACTTTTCCCCCAAGCTTTTCCATTTTAAATTCTAATTGAAAGTAACTATGTAACGCCACAAAGTGTCTCTTCACATAACATACCTCCAGCTTTCGCTGATATTTCTCACATTCCATTTGGCACTGTGAAAGATTCTTAGCTGTTTCTTGTTGCATGAGTTGAAGATGTTCACTTTCAAAGGACTTTAACTTACTTTGGTGAAGAAGTTCAGCTACTTTACTTTCTGTGCCAAGCTGCATTTGTCTATACCTAAAAGAAAATAAAAGCTTTGATGACTGAAAAATAAACAAACTTAGAATACATGCTAGTTCATTACAGGTATACATTTCAGAAACAAATACAGTCTTTTAAAGAGTTTAATAAGTATTGGTATGGTTGTCTATGTAACTATTGTAACGCTTATTTGAAACATCATTAGGAAAATTCAATATTATAATGGCAACAAAACACTGCATGGAAGAAATTACTTAAGCAAGCTAGGACTCTACAGCCTGGAAAAGAGATGGTTGTGAGGAAAACAGAGAAATAAGAGAGGCCTCTAACATGATGAGTGGCACAGAGAATGAGAATAGCAATCAATTATCCACTGTATTTTCCAACAGATGAATGAGAAGGCACCTAATAAACCTAGCAGATGCAGAATGAAAACAAATAGAAATCATTCTTCACACATGAAAGCTGTGAAATTCCTTACGGTAAGATGTTGTGGATGCTAAAAATTAACACTTGCTCAAAAGGACACTGAATACACTCAGCAGAGAAATCCTTTGACAACTATTAAATGCAAGATGGTACTTCTCACATAGAAGTCACTTAACAACAAATTGTTAGAATGCCAGAAAAACCTTTATTCTAACCCAACGTGGCTGTTGTGTTAGCTGTCATTTGTCAAATAGCAGTTTCAACACAATTCCACCCTATTTAGCACCTGATCTTTAGGTGGGATTGAAAGCATTTAACAAAAACAAGGGGATTACTTCAGATATTTTCCCTGAGGATTTCAGATGTAGGCATGTTTCTAAGGCACAAAGAGGAAGTAATTTTCACTGGAATTAACTTGAACAGAACAAACAGGTGTCATTATGATGCCCCTTATAATCACTGGGTAGACATCCCTGTATGAGTAAACAGTCCAATGCATGAATGAGACTGTTCCCACACAGACTGCGTGAGCAGAGATTGGAAATTCTGCCTACTGAGCTCATGAAAAGGTCACTCTTTTTAAAGCAATTTTCTTTTTCAATAGTATGACATTTGTTCTCAGAATTACTACACTCAAACTGCTAAATGCCAATTATCTATCTGGTTATCAACCACTGCTGTCAATTTTGCCTGCGGATGCTTTTCGAGTGCTGATACTTTAAGTATTTCATCACCTTTCCCTGATGATGTATGTTCCTATTTTCGTTTTACCACACAAGAATAGTTTCAGCACTCTTACATCCTCCACACTTTGTACATGGTTGGGTGCAGACAGGACAGTAAATCTGTTCCGCGATACACATTGTTTACAACACTGGGAAGACTGTTTTGTTCCAAAATGAGTAAGTCTTCACAAAGATACACGTCATCCAGCTAACTGATGTGCAATGCAACACACAAATGAAATTTATCTACAAGTCTCAAGTCATATTTATTGACTTTCAACAAGAACATACCCTTATCTTCTGCCTTTACAGAATATAAATGGCAATGCCTTCCTGCAGACTGCTTCAGACCTTAAGTTAGTTTGATGTACAGAGCCTGGACCGGAAACATGTATAAACACCGGCTATGCATACTTCTTTGTACTTACTTTCTATACTTTCCAGAGAAATTTGTAGTTCTCTGATGATTTTTTATGTCTACTCAATCAGCTGGGTGCCTCCAGACCGTGCTTATCAACCCAATTACAAACAGTAACTTCAGAAAAAAAAATATTGGACTTTGTATTCCGAAAATTTGCAGTAACTTACATACGCATGATCTGCTTTGTACTGGTAAGGTTATTAAGACTCAGGTTTTTTTGACCTCACTACGCTGTTGAGCTCACTGGTAACTCCTCTGCTGTAGCACGTTCAGAGTTTCTCTGTCATATTTGCTTTTTACTAGACCAAATAGTATCTCTGGTTTCTTGGCTACTATTTCAGCACAAGTGTGTGTGCGTATGTATACATAGTCATGTAACACAACGTCAAAATACATTCCTTAATCTGCCAAGATGGTCTCTAAGGGGAAAACAAAAGAAAACAAAACCACCCAATGATTTAATACTACTATTATGGACAAAAAAAATATTCAGTGGAATGCGGGTGTACGGGATTTTTCTCCACCAAGAAATTTTAGCAAACTCGTTACAGTGAAAGAGTACAGGTTTTTGTCTCACAGAAGAAAGAAAACTGGGAATGAAAGGGAAATTACAGACTGAGCTAATGAAAAAAAAATGGAAACAAACCTATTTAAAAATCACCTGGAATGGGGTCTCAAATTTGTTATGTCTCTGGGCCATTAGGATGATCAGTCAATAATGCCTGAAGTTTACTAAAGCGGAGTGATGCAATAGTCATCAGAAAGGCTATTTCTGCAGTAAAGTAGGAGAGAGTATTCAGAGAAGGACTTCATCCTTACAAACCAGAGTTTGTTTTAATATTTTTCTATCAGAGGAGTGTTTTTGCGAATGGGTGATAATGATTTATTAACTTTTCAAAATCTGCATACAATGAAACTAAGCTGAAAGATTTCATAGTAAAATCACATAAGTCTGTATACTGAAGAAAACACGGCAGCCAAGTGTTATTTTGAATGAAGGAACTACAAGACACATCCAGCACAGCCTAATCTAATATTGATATTCAAAGACTTCTATTGTGTATGTCTGTGATGGGAGATTCACTCAACACTTCCAACTTCTTATAAGCATCCCATAAGTACTGAGATAGTAACTCTAATCTGTTTTTACCTCTCTTTTACCATGGTCTATCCCACTGACAAAACCTGAGATGTACAGCAGTACTCCTCAATAACTGAACAATGAATCATAGAGCAGTCTGGGTTGGAAGGGACCTTTAAAGGCCATGTAGTCCAATCTCCCCTGCAACAAGCAGGGGCATCTTCAACTAGATGAGGTGGCTCAGAGCCCCGTCCAGCCTGACCTTGAATGTTTACAGGGATGGGATATCTACCACCTCTCCACCTCTCTGGGTAACCCTGTGCCACTGTTTCATGACCCTCAAAGTAAAAAATTTCTTCCTTACATATAGCCTAGATCTACCTTCTTTTCATTACCCCTTGTTCTATTGCAACAGGCTCTGCTAAAAAGTTTGTCCCTGTCTTTCTTATAAGCCCCCTTTAGGTATTGAATGGCTGCAAGGTGGTGTCCCTGGAGCCACCTTTTCTCCAGGCAGAACCACCCCAACTTTCTCAGTACTCCAGGTGGGTTCTCACCAGAGCAGAGTGCAGGGGCAGAATCACCTCCCTCGACCTGCTGGCCAGACTTCTTTTGATGCAGTCCAGGATGTGGCTGGATTTCTGGGCTGCAAGCACACATTGTCAGCTCATGTCCAGCTTTCCATCCACCAGTACCCCCAAGTCCTTCTCTGTGAGGCTGCTCTCAATCTCTTCATTCCTCAGTCTCTATTGATACCGGGGGTTGCCTTGTCCCACGTGCAGGACCCTGCACTTGGCCTTGTTGAACCTCCAGAAGTTCACATGAGCCCACTTCTCAAGCTTGTCTGGGTACCTCTGGATGGCATCCCACCCCTCAGGCATGTCAGCCACACCACTCAGCTGGGTGTCATCTGCAAACTTGTTGAGGGTGCGCTTGGTCCCATTGTCTGTGTCATTGGTGAAGATACGAAACAATACTGGTCCCAGGGCACCCCTCAGGGACACCACTTGTCACCAATCTCCATCTGGACATTGAGCTGTTGACCACTCTAGATGTGACCATCCAACTAATTCCACATCCACCGAACAGTCCCCTCATCAAATCCATACCTCTCCAAGTTAGAGAAAAGGATGATGGGAGACCATGTTGAAGGCCTTACAGAAGTCCAGACAGACAACACCCATAATGAAGTACATTAGAAGACAATAAATTTGTAAAGTTAAGCATTCAAGAAGTAGCAAATCCTAGTATTAAGCTTGTTAATAGGAAAGAATGCCAAGTAAATACTACGAAATAATAAATTTTCCAAAGGAAGTGCTACCAAGATTATACAAAACACAACACCAACCCTTTTGAATTTTGCAAACTTGATAATACCAACATAAGGCTTTTTAGAATATATTTTAGACACTACTTTCAAGTTTAAAAATGGAAAAAACCCTGCGAGTTGTGAAATCCTCCTGACTCCACAGATGGGTCAGTTCCAGATCTAAGATCTTTAGAGTAATTACAATACTCTCCTATTTGTACAAATCTCTGTGCTTTGGTTTGGTGCCAAATTTGCAGAGAAACCTAAATGCTACTGATATTTCCTCCCTAACTTGTCCTGTTGCAAATCTCCCACTTCTAGCCCCAACATGTCCTCTAATGTTCTTGCCCTCCTTCCTCTCTGTCCCAGTGCCAGCTCAGATTTCTCCTGATTTCCAATTCTATTTTCATTCTTTCTACTCAGGGCATCTGTTTTTCTTCTCACCTGTGTTCCTAACCTCCTCTGTTTCCATTCCTATCTTATACCCCTACCCTTCAACTGCTGGTTTTCTTTCTCTCTGCTCCTGTATGACCTTCCCAGTTTGGTATCCTTCATCAAATCCTACCCATACTTATTTCACCACGAGGTTCAAATGCCAACTTCCATACCTTTTGCAACTGAGTCTGGCTGTTAAGGCTTCCTCACTTCCAAAGAACTCAAAGCTAAGCATAAAAGCACAGAATTCTCCGTACTCTTCCTTCCTTATGCCACTCAGAGTGACACAGAAGGAGTAACAGCAGTCTAGATAGGCCTAAATTAAATTCAGTCACGTTACAGACGACACATACGCTGTCCATACATGTGGCAAACTGTGAGACTCCAGTTCAAACATGGGCACTCAAAGGATCTTGTTTTCACTGGTTCTCTTTTTGATCATTGGTACTAAAAACTGGTTGGGTTGTTTCTAAGCAATCAAAAATTTCCCATAAATTGAGTTCACACGCTACCCACTAAGTAACTGAAAACGTAGGAACTCTGATCTTTAGTTTCAATTGCTTTCATTGCTCAGCTTCTGAAGCGCTGAACGTAAGTCTGATGCGTCATATATCCAGCTGGTTTCATAAACTGAAAGTC